CTCCTCCCTCAGACCAGGAGTCCTGGTCCCCCAGTCTCCTCCTCCAAACCAGGCGTCCAGGAGTCCTGAGCCCCAGTTCCTCCTCCCTCAGACCCAAGTTCTAGGCCCCCAGCCCCTCCTCCCTCAGACTCCGGAGTCCTCAGCCCCCTCTTCCCTCAGCCTCCCCGGGGCACACAGGTGGCAGGCCCCATCCCCTGTGGTGCAGCAGTGGAAAGAGTGTGTGGGCAGCTGTGGGCTCAGCCCCGCCTTCCCCACACCCACCCTGATGCTCTGAGCCTGGCTCCCGGTGCCCACTTTGGCCTGGGGTCTGCTCTGCAGGGTCTGGGTTGAGCGCTCGGGGGGCAGGGTCCTTGGTGACGTCGCGTGTCTTCCTCAGAGACCCAGCCAGTGCAGTGGCCCACGCCCAGGACGTCATCTCGGACCTGCTCTGCAACCGCATCGACATCTCACAGCTGGTCATCACCAAGGAGCTGACCCGCGCGGCCGCTGACTATGCGGGCAAGCAGGCCCATGTGGAGCTGGCTGAGAGGTCCGCTGGGACGAGGCTGCCCCCCACCCCCACCTGCCAGGAGCTGCTTCCCAGGGGGGTCCTGACGGTCACTGCCCTGCCCCCACAGGATGAGGAAGAGGGACCCCGGGAGCGCCCCCAGCTTGGGTGACCGTGTCCCCTACGTGATCATCGGGGCTGCCAAGGGCGTGGCTGCCTACATGAAGTCTGAGGTCAGCCCCACCTGGCCAGCCCCGCCCGCATGACCCCCCCACTCTCACTTCTGCTTTCTGGCAGGGGTGGTGGTGGGGGGGCAGCACCACTCCCTCCAGAGCCCCATGGGACCCTGGGAACTGCCCCCAAGCAAGGCACACCCGGGATCCCCAGCAGTGGGGAGAAGGTGCTCCCTGATGCTGTGCTCCCAGCATCCTCTGCAGCACCACCCTTCTCCCGTGGAGAGCCCCAGGCCCTCCCTCTGCATATGCAGCCCTCTGTCTCAGACCCCCACCCCATATTCATGTCTGCACCTCCTGTCCAGTCCCTGTCAGCCCCAGCTCTCGGCCACCATTGCCTTATGAACTCTAACCCTCCCTCAGTGACAACAGAGGTCCCACTGGTGGCTTCTGACCCCCCTCCATGCCCAAGGGTGGCAGCGTCCCCTCCCGCCGACCCCACAGTGTATTACTGGAGGATCCCTGGGCCTGTGATGCCCCTCACAACAGCTCCCCCGGGCTGTGGCGGTACCCTCAACGTGCCCTGCGACTGTCCCCCATTCCCTCATCCACCCAGTGTGACTGGGGTCCTCCAGTTCCCCTAGTATGTGACCAGGGCCCCTTCTCTGGTGACCCCGTGTTGGCCGCCGCCTACAGGACCCCCTCTTTGTGCTGGAGCACAGCCTGCCCATAGACACACAGTACTACCTGGAGCAACAGCTGGCCAAGCCGCTCCTGCGCATCTTCGAGCCCATCCTGGGCGAAGGCCGCGCCGAGGCCGTGTTGCTGCGTAAGAGGCGGGTGTAGGGGTGGGGGGGTGGGGGTTGGGGAGCGATGAGTGGCCCGCGATCCCTGGCCCACCGCCCTGCACTGCCTGCAGGCGGGGATCACACGCGCTGCAAGACAGTGCTCACGGGCAAGGTGGGCGGCCTGCTGGCCTTCGCCAAGCGCCGCAGCTCCTGCATCGGCTGCCGCACCGCGCTTGACCACCAGGGTGAGCCCCACTTCCCTCCCCCTACCTCCCGCACCCATCCGGGAGGGTCCACATACCCCGCCCAGGGGCTTCCCCAGGGGAGTTTTCACCCCCTGGACACTCGTTCCCTTGTTCTCGAGCCTTCGGGACTTTCGGGAGCCGGGCGGGGAAGGGGCAGGGACAGGGCGGCCCGGAGCTGACCGACCCCCACCCCCTGCCCGCAGGAGCCGTGTGCAAGTACTGCCGGCCACGCCAGTCCGAGCTCTACCAGAAGGAGGTGAGGGCCGGGCAGGGGAGGAGGGGGGCGGGGGGCACGGGCTGGGGGGGTCTGCCCTGCTCAGCACCCAGCCCCGCCCCCAGGTATCCCACTTGAACGCATTGGAGGAACGCTTCTCGCGGCTGTGGACGCAGTGCCAGCGCTGCCAGGGCAGCCTGCACGAGGATGTCATCTGTACCAGGTGCCTGGACCCCAGGGTCCCCCGTGCAGCCCGCACCCCAGGGTCTACCCACACACGACGTCCAGATGCCAGGGTCGCCCCCAACACACACAGCACTCTGCCCTTCGGGTGGGCTCCCAGGATCTGCTGGGGGTGGTGACATCCCTCTTAGACACCCCCACCCCGTGGCCCCCACCTCTGGGCGGGTCCACTTTCCCCAGGGAACGGGTGTGCGGGGCAGGTTCCCACGACAGGTGTTATACGGCGGGCGGTGGCCGGGCCCGGCGTGCTGGCTGGCACCCACTGTTATCTGCTCCCTGGGCCCTACTGAGCAAACAGCCCGGCGGTGGGAGGAGGCGGCTGGGGGGCGGCGGGCGGGGCCAAAGTCCTGGGAACGGCCCTTTCCCTGGGACTGGAGGGCCGTGCTGGCGCCCACTGCCCTTGGCCCTGACCCGCTGCTGCCCCCGCCCGCTCGCCTGTCCACCCACAGCCGTGACTGCCCCATCTTCTACATGCGCAAGAAGGTTCGCAAAGACCTGGAGGACCAGGAGCAGCTGCTCCGGCGCTTCGGCCCGCCGGGCCCGGAGGCCTGGTGAGGGCTGCGGGTGGGGCTTAATAAAAGGCATCTTTTCTACCGCGTGGATCTTTGTGATTGATTTCCGGAGGACGAGTCTGGCTGGAAGGGGTGGGCCAAGGCCGGGGGGTAGGGAAGACGTCCCAGAACCTCCGTGTAATCTTTAGCACTCCAGCCTCTGATGCCACGGCTGCCTCAGTTTCCCCCCATGCACCCCAAGTGAAGGTATAGGCCAGTCTATCTGCCTTACTCAGTGCACCCAAGTGTCAAATCCGGGGGCCATCCCCAGCTCCCCATGGCCCCAGGGGTGCCCTGCCCACCAGGTGCTGGCCAGTTTCCATCAGGGACTGGGGCAGCCCCCAAAGGCTGGCTTCCGCTCCCCAGCCTGAGGGGACCCCCCCCCATATGAAACACCCACAAATGTTTCCACCGGTGGCCTGGGTCTTCCTCGATCCCCTCAGGCACCATCTGGCAGTCCCCACACCGTGGAAAGCTGACATCTGCAGGGTCAGGGTCACCCTGCCAGGCCATGGCCCCCCACCCCCCCTCCCCTCTTAGGGCGGAAGTTAGGCTCCCAGGTCCAGCACCACGGCCACCTGCATCCCCCGTTCCCGATCCACCTGTGCTGGCTCCCAGAGACCCAGCTTTTCCTCCCTTCCCAGGGTCCCCCCAAATCTCAACTCCTGGCCCACTGCTACTCCTTGGGGTCAGCCCCCCACTCCTGACCTTGGGGATCCCCCAAATCCAGGCCATGTGATGCCCCAGGGGTTGCGCAACCCAGCCCCCTCCCCCTGGCTGCCTCCCTGAGGGGAATTTTGAGGAGGGCCCGGCTGTGAGCCGCTACCCTCCCTCCCTCGGGTATAAATAGGGGTGGTGGCAGCAGGCCAGCCCAGTGTCAGCATGCTCGCCCTGGAAGCTACACAGTAAGTGGGGGCCCCTGGAGCCACACTGCCCACCTAAGGGTCGGGAAGGAGGGGAGCTCTCTTCTGACACCACCACCCCCACACCCCTTTTCCTCCATCCTTCCCCAGCCTGGTCTTATTTGGTCCCCAAAGATTTCAGCCCTGGGACAAATGCTCTCCCCTTCTGTTGGCCTCTGTGGGTCTCTCTCCCCCTCTCTGTCTCTCTGTCTCTTCCCCTGGGTCCTCTCCATCTCTGTCTCTTACTGGGGAGGGTCTTCTCCTTCTGAGGCCATCTCCTCCCTCCGTCTGTCTCTCCCCAGTTTTCTGTCTCTCTGCTTTTGTCTCTTTCCAGTTCTCTCTCACCGTCTGTCTCTTGCACATTTTCTGTAGCTATCTCCAGTTCGCTCTCTGTCTGCCAGTCTCTCTAATTCTCTCCGTGTGTCTCTTTGCCTTACTCTTTCTGTCTCTTTCCCATTTCCTATCTCTACCATCTCTCTATTGCCTCTTTCAATTGTTCTGTCTGCCTCCAATTCTGCGTGTCTGATTCTCTCTGTGTGTTTCTTGGCGTGATTCTCTCTGTCTCTCTGTATGTCTGTCTCAGGTTCTCTGCGTCTCTGCCTTTGTCTCTCTCATCTCTCCCCGGTTCTCTTTCTCTCTGTCTCTCTGCCTCTCTCTGGATCTCTCTGCACGATGCTAGCTCCCTGTCTCTCCCACCTCCCTGTCTCCCCCTCTGGGACTC